CGGACAGCGGACAGCGGACAGCGGACAGCGGACAGCGGACAGCGGACAGCGGACAGCGGACAGCACACGGCGGACAGCGGACAGCGGACAGCACGCACCTTGCTGTCAGATGACCGGGGCGCCGACGAGGCGGGAGTGATTTGGTCCTGAAGATCGAGGGCCTCGGCCAAAGCCGGCGAGATGGTCCACTCGTCCTCATCGTGGCCGGCGAAATCGTCATCGGGCCCGACAGACGATCTCAGACCGGCGAGATCCGGCGACAGGACCGACGACACCGAGGAGGAGGAGGGCGAAGGAAAGACATCCCCGGTCAGCTGGCCCCCGAAGTCGGCGGCATCGTCACCAAAGTCATCGAAGCTGCCGATGACCGCCGGCGGATTGTCAGCCCCGACTGAGAAACGGGTTGGGACATTGGATACTGGCCCCCACCCATCCATGGCAAGGGGAGGCGGGCTGGCGGAGGCAGGCGCTTTTCCTCGGACCTCTTCCCAGTGCATCGGGGGCGGGGGCGGGGGGCGGGGCAGAGAAGGGGGCGATAGGGCGCGCGGTGTTAGAGCACGCACGGTGCTGAGCGAGCGGCAAGCGTGGGAAGGGGAGGGCGGGGGGTGCTGCCATCGAGAGGCGCCGAGTTCAATTATTGACTGGGGAGGGGCGCGCCAGGAGGGGATAGGGGCGAGGGGGACGGGAGGGAGGAGCAGGGGGAGGGGCGCACAGCGGAGGGAGGGAACCAAGGAGGAGGAAGGGGAGGGGGAGGCGGATTGGAGGGAGAGAGAGAGGGAGGGGGGGGGGGGCTACGGAGACAGAGAGAGAGAGAGAGGGGAGGAGAGCTGCGTGGGCGGAAGGGGCGATATGCGGGCCCCGACCGGCCGCCCGGGGCAGGGCGGGGCAGCGCCAGAAAAAAGCCCGAGAGACGGTCCCGCGTCGGATCTGGCCGGATTCTCGAGCCGGACGCGCCCGGCTCGCGACCCCCAGGTGCGCGAGGGCGGGGAGGGAGGAGAGGGGAACGCGTGCCCGCGCGCCACGCCCCGCCCCCCCCCCCCTGCGGCCGTGGTCCGGGGAACTCCACTCACGTTGGCGGTGGGGGACGCAGGAATAGCCAGGACAGACGGCACCTCGAGACCGGGAGGGCGGCCCTTTCGTGCATTCAAACCTCCCTCTTGAGAATTGAGATTCTCGCGGGTCTGGTTAAACCCTCCCTTGAAAGCGCTCCCCAGGGACGGCTATCGAGGGTCAGTAGCTATTTACCTGGCTCTTGCCGCGCGTGCCTCTTTCTGGGGCTAACAGGCGCCATTGGTGGTGGCGATCTGCCTGCATGAGAATGGGCACCAGCGGGGCTGCGGGTGTTCGGGACCATCTCACGTGGGCGTGATGTCCGGGTCTGGTGCCCGTTCTGTCACTCGAGACCGGCCGCGGGGCTTGGGGGCCGGCAGCGCCCGGACACAGGCTGCCCGGCATGCGCGTTCTCACCCGGCGGACGGGGGGGGGGGGGCGTGGCGGGAAACGGTTGCCCGTGCGCGAGCCACGGTGAATTGCGCCCTGGGGGGTCCTTGTGCCCGGACCGACCACACGCCCTGGCCGGGGCTTCGGATTCTTCATTTCCCCCAAGCGACTCCCCTGGGGCTGGGGCGGGGGGCGGAAAATAAACAAAAACAAGAAACACCAGCAACACCCTGGCTTCTTTTCGGTTCCTTTTTTTTCTTTCTTATTTTTTGACAGGGAGGGGGGCGGGGGACAAATGTATTCATACCGCCGCCCTGACTGACAAGAGGGGAGGAGCGTGGGTGCGCGCGTATGGGGGGAGTATATGCGCGCGACGCCAACGCATTTCCGCTCGTGGGCGGGAGGCGGGGGGGGGGAGGAGGAGGAGGAGAGAGGTTGCCCAGCGACAACGACAACAACAACACAAGGAACAAGGGGGGGAGGAAAAGAGCGGGAGGGGACACCTCTCACAAACCGAAGGGCAGGCCACGGCGGGACTTGGTCGGCTTGGCGGTCGAGGCGGCGATGGCGCCGGAGTGGTACTTGACCAGGTAGTCCGGGTTCTCGAAGGGACCCATGCAGGTGCCACGGTCAAAGTCCAGCGGCCGGCCTCCGGACATGCGCCGCTGCGGCAGGAAGGAGGGGGACGGCGCGGCCGCCCCGGGCCCCGGGGGGGAGAACGGCGCCGAGGGGGTCAGCGGAGTGGACACATCGCCGCCGGCGGTCAGACCGCTGTAGGGCGAGGAAGAGGCCGAGGAGGAGGCCGAGCCGATGGCCAGCGAGCTGAGATCCGGCGAGGAGAGGGACGACGCGGAGCCGAGCGAAAGCCCGGCACCGGCGCCCGACGAGCCGGACCCGGCGGTGAGGATGATGGTGGGGCCGGCTGCGCCGGGGTCATCGCCGCCGATGGCACGGCCGCCCGCGGTGGCTGTGGCCCCGGCGCTGGCGCCCATGTCGCCACGGCTGCCACTCCGCGAGTGGAACATACTGAAGGAGGGCATGGAACTGGAGGGTGGCAGGGGGCCGCCCTTGGACCCGGCACCGGCGGCCGACGAGGAGAACGGCGGCGGCGAGAGGGCCACCCCGCCGGCGGGCGACGCGCCGGCCGAAGCGGGAGTGGCCGCCGAGGAGGAGGAGGAGGACGAGGAGGACCCAGCGAGGTTGGTGTTGCTGCTGCTGCTGCTGCTGCTGCCGCCGCGGAGGTTGGCCACGAAGCGCGTGACGCCGCGCTTCTTGGCCGGGGCCGGGGCGACGGTCACCTCGTCGGGGGTGGGCCCGGCGCTGGCCGGGGAGCCGGCAGACCCGGCGGCCCAGCCGCCGGGCGACGGCCCGGGCGACGGCCCGTCCGAGGCCAGTGTCCGCCGAGTGACCTCGATCATGTCTCCGATGCCGGCTCCCAGCGGCGCGGCGAACATGGAGTGCCCAGCCAGGGCGTGATCCTGCACGCGAATGAGCTGCATCGACAGGCCCAGGTGGTTGAAGAAGCCGCCGGTCACCTCGGCCACCGTGTGTCGGGGGTGCTTGGACTGGCGAAGGATCTTGTTCGACTGGAGGAAGATGC